ATGTTACGTGAAGTAAATTGATTTAGGAAAATGTATTTCTGAACCTCCTCAAATGCTTATAGTTCCATATCTTTTTTATCATAGCAATGCAAAGAATGTTCTTACATATAATGAAATTAATGATATAGAATTGAGAGAGATGATGAGAAGTGATGGAAAGTCAATGATGATGCTATAATACTGAATTTTGCGTCATGATGATGACTTAAATAAGATGAAGATGAAATGAGGAACGTGTGCATCTACCTTAAACTGAATTTCGTATGAATACATGTGAAGATGGAGACTGATATAAAAATAAATAGATATATAGAAATATATACACAATGCACTCGGCCTGAACTCTAGCGTCCCCACCCTTTTGTTCTTTCTGTTCTCCCTCCTTTTCGTCTCCGTTCCCTCCAGCTGCTTCTCATCACTTCCTTGGTCATCTTACTGCCGCGCACAGTACTGCTCAGCTGATCTGTCGTCAGCAGAGTAATATACATACAACTTGCATTTCTTTGGCATTATCGATTTCCCAATATTTATTATCTTTAATTGGACCTTGTGGAAAGACTCGGAGGTTCCGCGCCTCCAGCTGACTCCCGTCTCTCCCGCAGCCCCGCCAGAGGTACGGCAGCTACGACGAGGTGTGCGAGCGCTCGACGGGGCGCGTGCGGCTCTGCAACTGGGTGCGGTTCGTGAGCTACGCACTCCACTTCACGCCGCAGGTCAACATGGTCGCGTCCAGAGTCAGAGGTCAGCAGGTCCGAGAATGGGACGGTTGTATCTCTTGCTGCATTTTCTTTTCTTTCTTTTCTCTCTTCTCTCTCTCTCTCATCTCTCTCTCTCTCTCTCTCTCTCTCTCTCTCTCTCTCTCTCTCTCTCTCTCTCTCTCTCTCTCTCTCTCTCTCTCTCTCTCTCTCTCTCTCTCTCTCTCTCTCTCTCTCTCTCTCTCTCTCTATTAGGGTTTCTGACGGATGTTTGTACATACAAGGTCGAATATATAGACAGGTGGGTAGGTGTTTATCCACTCTTTCCCTCGCTCTTTTTCCTGTGTTTCATATCTCCCTTTCCCCTCTCCTTATACACACCCTCATCCTATGCCTCCCTAAAGCAGAGCCAGTACACTATGTAGAACGTAACATCTCGCAGAGTAAATATTCTTGAAAAAAACTAGATATTAATGCAACAGGTATGTACTGTACTCCAAGTACTAACGTCCCCGCCCTTGAGCGCATTCCCGACGGCCTCGCCCGCTGGGTGCTTTAGGCGAGCACACTGCCGACGGTCCCATCTCATTTCCTCTAGCTTTTGATCGTCAGTTTGCATTCGTCCCAAAGAATATGAAATATTCTAGTTCATGGGTTTAGATATTTTCTAGTCTGATAAACACTAGTATTTTTTATTCATGTCTGAATTATGCAGATTACGGCATTGCCCATTTACTTATTAGCATACACCTTCTAATGATGAGAATGTTTCCCCTGGGGCGGCCTTTTTAGCCGCTAATCAGTTTCTTCTGTCAAGAATCTACGTTCTTTATTCATCGGCCTTGATTACAACTACTTGGTAAATCAGCAAGCACTGAGAATATTGTTTGCGACCCGCAATCTGCATCGCGCATGTCTGCCGAATAGCCTGAGGCCATTTTACTTTTCGGCTTCTTGGCTGCGGCCGCTGCGTCGTCTGGCGTCCGTTCTCGCACATCTAAGCCATGTTAAGCGAGTTTACTTTCCCCAATTAGTTTAGTTTAGTCCTTTACTACCACCCTGGCTAGCTGCACAGGCGTGGGCAAGCATGGTGGGCAGTTTGATGCAAGGGAAAAAGTGATATGGATATAGGAAATGAAGTATCGAGGGCGGAACAGTTGGAAGAAATGTTTAAGGTCGTGATAACACATGTAGATTTACGATTCCAAAATGTACTTTACGCTTTTTGGAGTAAGGAAAGGAAGAGAGATCACAGACATATCATCCACCAATTGGAGCCGGAAGTCTGCTTGCGCGCAAGGTGCGCCGTGAGTCCCGGGTTCCACATAGCAGGGGCACGGCCAGCCAGCGGAGACGCCCGGGTCGGGCGTGAAGGGGAAGGTTGCGGTGCCTGAGCAGGGGTGCGCGTAGAGAGAACGCGAGCTGACGGTTTCGCTGGAGTCGCCGGGCCGCGACGGGCGGCGGCGCGGGGGCGAAGGGCGGCGTGGGCCTGCGGGCGCCGTCGCTTCCGGAAGTGGTGTGCGGTGTTAAGAGGGGAACGTGGAAGGGGGAGGAAAGAGCTTGTTTGTGTGCGGTTGGAGCCGCGTATTGCCTAGGTACATAAATGCACAGAAATATATTCATGCATATATATGTACATATGTGTGCACATATATATAAGTAAATGGATACACACGCACACACATACACACACATACACACACATATATAGATGTACGAAGGTGTGTGCCGTAGAATATGTGAGAGTTAAAGATGGATAACGCACACCACACATACACAAACAACGTAGAGGGGGGGGGGATGGAAAGGGAAATTTGGGAGTCTACGAGTCATCGCAATACATATTATACACACATCACTGTTTGTTCTGGATAGACTGACTTAATGTAGGTTGAATAGATTTTGATCCTAGCCATAGTCCCTCAGAGAGTCTTAAATAAAGCACTATACATGCAAAATATAAACAGACAGTAATAGAACACCGAACGATAGATCATAAGAATAGTACAGTCATGGATAACATATGCGAAAATGAGAATTAAGAAATGAAATCTAAGTCCCGTTGAAGAGAATCAGGACTGGGCGGGTGCGTTGCAAAACTTTGTGTCAATTTCGCAATGCGTCGATTCCTAAAGGTAGGGTTGGAGCCGTGGGTGTTCTACTAATACGCGTTAAGTTATAATGCACTCTAGGGACACATTCTGAATTTGTAAACTCATAGATAGATACAAAATTCTGCACTAATGCCGAAAAGGGTATAGTACAAAAAATAGATCAGTTTGGGGCCGGCCGCTGCGCCGTCTCAGCACCACGTTTCTCTCACAAAGCACTTTTTGATTTATGTACAAATTTTTTAAACGTCTGGTTCAGTATCTCTCAACTATATATATTATAATATATATAAGGTAGATTGAGTGATATAGTTATCAGGGGTGTATAATATATGAGTAGTAAAGAAAGGTGGAAGAAGAATCTAAAGTAATATTAAGTAAGAAAGAGAGAAGGGGAGATGTAAAGATAAGTGATATAGAGGGATAGTAGGATAAATAATGAGGATGATATAGTAATAGATGAAAATATAGTATATAGTATTATAATATATATATATATTATAATATATATATATTAGATATAGATAGTAGTGAGTCAGTAAGTAAGGTATATATAGTGTGATAATTCATAATATATGTATATATGGTATATTGTAATATATATAGTAATATATATAGAATGATAGTTATATATATTATAGAGGGTATATATATTGTATGTGTATATAATATGTTCTGTGTGTGTTCCTTTCTCTTCCTCTCTCTTCTTTCTCTTTTTTCTTCTTTCCCTCTTTCGCTCTCGTCTCTCTCTCCTCTCTCTGTCTGTCTATTTCTTTTTATCTTTATTCCTCTCTCCCTTCGTCGTCTCTCTCTCTCTCTCTCTCTCTCTCTCTCTCTCTCTCTCTCTCTCCGCTCTCTCTCTCTCATCTCTCTCTCTTCTCTCTACTCTCTCCTTCTCTCTTAGTCTAATCAATGTATCTATCTATTTGTGTCTGTCTGTCCTGTTCCGACTATCATCTTATTGTATCAATCGCCGCCTTTTTGTGAATTTCACTCGCTCTTACTTTTTGCCCGACCTACTACTTCCTTCTCGTCTGCTTAAACGCAACTTAGGAGGAAGACAAATATATGGATCGTAATATCGCTGAGTCTCTCATAAAGTCAAGGTAAAGACAGACAGAACCATTACCAAACTGGACTTTTTTTTCCCGTTCGAGGCTACAGTATACTTTTTAATCGACGCAGAAATTATTTGGAGATTTCAACCGGGTCACGACACCAATCTCTTTTGTTGTTCCTCGTTACTCTGTTTCCAGCCATCTATCTTATCTCTCAGTTCGTTAATCTGCATGTATCTGCTTTATCTATCCACCTTTTTTTTTCATTTCCTGCTTACTATTTAAACAGTATCTGCCTATCTATCGACTTTCTCATTTACTGTTTACTATTTACACGTATCTACCTAGCTATTCCCCTTTTTTCATCTACTGCTTACTATTTACACGTATATACCTATCTATTCCCCTTTTTTTTCATTTACTGCTTACTATTTACACGTATCTGCCTAGCTATCCACTTTTTTTTTTGCTTACTGCTTATTTTTTTACATTCGTGATCAGTATCCATGAACCATTTTTTGGATTTGCCCTTTTTCCGTTTTCTTCTAATTCAACTTGTCCGTATCCTCATAGTCTCATTAATTCTATGGAACTTCATGTCATCGCCAAAGCCACAGGGAGTTTTGTGATAGCGTTAATTTGTAACATTCGTAATATCGGTACATCAAGGAAAAGCGAAAGAGCAATGGGCTCTGGGTTTATCTTGTTCCCTTCATTATTATGAACTTGTATTAAGAGTAAGTTAAATGACCCCATTGGAAAGGGAGAGGGGGGAGGGACGGGGAGAGAGAGAGAGAGAGAGAGAGAGAGAGAGAGAGAGAGAGAGAGAGAGAGAGAGAGAGAGAGAGAGAGAGAGAGAGAGAGAGAGAGAGAGAGAGAGAGAGAGAGAGAGAGAGAGAGAGAGAGAGAGAGAGAGAGAGAGAGAGAGAGAGAGAGAGAAGAGAGAGAGAGAGAGAGAGAGAGAGAGGAAGGGAGAGAGAGAGAGAGAGGGAAAGAGGGAGGGAGGAGGGAGATGAAGGGAAAGAATGAGACAGATGAGATAGAGAGAGTATAACCTCCAGCAATAATGGCTATTGAAATCAATAGATAAAGAAAGAAGAAAAATAAATAAAATAATAAAATAAAATTATAAAATTATAATAATATATATATATATATATATATATATATATATATATATATATATATATATATATAATATATATATATATATATATATATATATATATATATATATATATATATATTATATATAGACAGCACTTATAAAACACATTAGCATAAAACAACATTTCGGAAAATACCCGGGCATGAAAAAAATCTGGCATGACAAAGAACCGGTTTCCAAAACGGAGGAAAGGAACCATGTAGGAAAAAAAAAAAGAAAAAAAAGATTAAAGGAAAAAGATTTATGACTTTCAAATTGAATACGGAAGACTCTCCATCGCAACGGAAGAAAAAAGGACTTTCTCTTCCTGCTGTCATAGCCAGAGACGGCGCCAGCGATGCACGGGAGGCAATCCTGATTTGTGGCGACGATGGTGAGAATGAGGAAAGGAATAGCGTGCGAAGAAAGATGAAAAAATAAGAAGAAAAGAGAGAGGGAGGGGGTCGAGGGGAAGACAGCCTGGAAAGACAAAGGAAGGCGGTCAAAATAAAGGAACGTGATAAAGGACAGAGACGGAAAATATTGGACAGGAAAAATACTTACCTAGAAACAAGCAGGCGCCCAGAAACCGAAAAGACAATTTCTTTCAGAATACCTATTTACTTAAAGCAAAAAAAAAAAAAAAAAACAGGTGACATTGAAAGTGACGAAAAAAACATCATTTTCCTCTAAGAGTTTGTATCTCTTAAACATTCTTTCTATCTTTGAGAAAAAAACGGAGCTAAACATAACTCTAAACAACTGCGGCTTCCAATATACTCCTAGTCGTATATTGGAAGGCTTTATTGAACCTAGAAAGAATACTGACAAAATGTTCAAAAGTTGCTGATTGGACACATTTTTATAGAAACCAGATTTTCAGTTCTCTAACATTTTCTTTATCAATGACATAAAAATATATATTATATAATGAAGAAAAATTAATAATGGAGATAAGGATAAAGTCGATCATCATGATAACCATCATTTCGTCCAATAATGATAATTATGATAATGATATTAATTGAACAACGTAACATTAATGATGATAACAGCGATACGATAAAGGAGTAGGAGAAAATGTAAATGAGTATTTACGGAATAGAAAGGCAAAGTATTTACAGAGAAAAAAGAATCCCGAGTCGGAATCACGGCGGCGCCAAGCACACGCCGCACACACGCGCAGTCACGCGCTGAGGAGGACGTCCCGCGCCTTTGTGTGCGAGGGAAGAGGTGTTCCGGCCAATTACGGGCTCAAAGGATTAAATGGAACCACGTGTCGAGCGCCTCGTCTCGCAGGAACTCCAACGCCGAGCGAAGGAGAGCTTCATTTCACGCCGGCCTTCCTTGCTTGCTTGGGGCCTGCTCCTCCCTCGGGCCTCGGGCATCTTGAAGCGCCGGAGGTCCTGGAGACCAACGGGGCGAGCGTCACGTCCTTTTGGCTCCTCCGGCCGCCGGAAGCGTCGTATTTACTCACTCAACCAACCATAGCGTATTTTTTCCCCCTTTCTCTCTCCTTCTTCTTTTCTCGCTCATCCTCTTTGGAATTAAGGAGCATGAAAATTGACTGCCGGTTAGGAAGGTAATCTGAGTCATAAAAAAGGCGATTCACTTCCCGGCCTTTTTGCGCGCGTTCCCGCGTTTGCGCCTCGCACGTCAGCCGTCCCGACGCCAGCCTCCTTGGGCTTACGTTTGTCTCTAATTTTCCTGTTCGCTTATCACTTTACGTTTTCGGATATAACGTTTGCTTCTAAAGTTTTTGCATTTCTGTGTTCTTATCTCCTTTCCTCTCTACAGGATCCGTGGTATTCGAGGTCGTACGGGAGGTCGTCCCGGGGGAGCGCCTGGTCGTCTTCTTCCTGCCGGACATGAGCGGAGAGGACACCCTCCTCCTGCCGGCGCTGACCTTCCTCCGCTCCTCGCTTTACCGACGCACGATCGACTCCATCATGGCGGAGGCTCCGCTCGACCTCTCTCGCTCGCTGCTCACCTCTCCTCCCTCGCCGCCTCCGTCGACCCACACGCCGTCGGTGCCGCTCAAACGGAAGGCTGAGGACCACCCCCCCCACCCCGCTCCCCCTCCCCGGCCCCCCCGCCCTCCCCCCCTTCGCGTACCCTCTGCCAAACTTTCCTCCGACGTCCACGTCCTTCCTCCCGCTGCGGAGGCCCCCGGGGGGCCTGGGAGGCAGGGAGCTCGAGCCCTCCGCCTTACCTCATTTCCCGCTCAACCTCAAGCCCCCCACCTCCTCGTCGTCGTCGGGGGAGCCGCCGGCGTCTCCTCCCCGCACCACCCTGGCCCTGGCCACGCCACGCTCGTCGTCGGCGGACGGCCCCCTGGAGGCGCCTGTGGCCGCGTCGCCGCCCAAGCGCCGCGAGCGGACGATGCTGCCGTGCTCGGAGTGCGGCAAGGCGTTCGACCGGCCGTCGCTGCTGAAGCGGCACATCCGGACGCACACGGGCGAGAAGCCCCACGTGTGCGACGTGTGCGGCAAGGGCTTCTCGACCAGCTCGTCCCTCAACACCCACCGCAGGATCCACAGCGGCGAGAAGCCCCACCAGTGCGGCGTGTGCGGCAAGCGGTTCACGGCCTCGTCCAACCTCTACTACCACAAGATGACCCACGTCAAGGAGAAGCCGCACAAGTGCTCGCTGTGCACGCGCTCCTTCCCGACGCCCGGCGACCTCCGCTCGCACATGTTCGTGCACAACGGCCAGTGGCCCCACAAGTGCTCCGTCTGCGGCAAGGGCTTCAGCAAGCTCACCAACCTGCGCAACCACGCGCTTCTGCATGCGGGTAAGGCCAAGGACGGCGTTCTCTGCAAACAGTCCTTGCATATATATCTGTGTGTGTGTGTGTGCATACACACACACACATATATACATGATATATATATAATATATATATATATATATATATATATATATATATATATATATATATATATATATATATATATATATATATATATATATATATATATATATATATATATATATATATATAATATATATATATATATATATATATATATATATATATATATATATATATATATATATATATATATATATATATATATATATATATATATATATATATATTATATATTATATATTTATATATATATATATATAATATATATATATATATATATATATATATATATATATATATGTGTGTGTGTGTGTGTGTGTGTGTGTGTGTGTGTGTGTGTGTGTGTGTGTGTGTTGTGTGTGTGTGTGTTGCGTATTTTATACACACATTTACAAATATGAATATAGATAAGTAGGTAGATATGAATACATATACACATAGACATACATTTACATATAAGAATAGATATATGTATATATGTAAATTGTATATATATATATGTGTGTGTATGTGAAAGCATACGTGCATGTATGTATATGTCTGAACACACGCGCGATTAGCCCCTGTGTCTCCCATTCCACCGCCAGCGCCCCCCCCCCCCTGCGGGCCGGGGAACTCCTCCGAATCCTCTGACTCCGCTTCTCTCTTCCAGAAATGAAGCGCACGGAGCGGCAGCTGTCGTCCCTGCCGGCCACCCTGGCGTCGCCGCCCTCCACCAGCGGCTCGGACACTCCACTCACTCCACCGGCGGCGTATTCCCCGCCCAGTTACTCCACCTTCGCCCAGTCCTCCTTGCTGAACAGCGACACGCCCCCGTCTTCATCCACCTCGCACACTCCGCCCAGCTGCTCCGACGCGCCCTCGTCCCCCGCCACGCCCCCCACGGCGAGCCGGCTCCTCCGCTGTCCGCTGCCCACTTGGCGAGTCCTCCGCCCTCGCCCTCCAGCCCCGCGCCCGCCCTCGCCTCCTGCCCCCGTCGGAAGGGCCTATCGGCTCGCCCCCGCCGCGCCGCCCGCCTCGGCTGCCCAGCACCCGCGCAAGGAGGATTCGCCGCGGCTGCCCGAGGCCCCGTCCGCGTTCGCGCCCCTGAAGGCGACGTCCTCCATCGCTTCTCCGCCTCCTTCTCCTCTTCCCCTTCCTCCTCCTCCTCCATCTCAGCCTCCAGCTTCATCTCACGCGAAATTCAGCATCAGTTATCTCCGCACGTCCTCCATATCTCCCTCCTGCTCCTCTTCCTTCCCTTCTCCGTCCACCTCTTCGTCCTCGTTCACCGTGCAGCACCTCATCCAACCCTCAAACAGATGTGAAGGAGAGTCAAGAATAATCGTCGAAGAGGAAAAGGGAAAAGACTCAACAGCTGAAGAAGAAACGGGAGAAGCACGCGATCTAGACAGACCAAAAGCGGAGGAAGAAGAAGAGGAGGAAGTGATACTCCTGAGCGACGAGGGCGAGACGAAAGATGAAGTCGCGATGACCAAGCCCGTCGTCGCCAGGTAGCAGCCGGATGGAGTCAGCGCAGCGAACAGGGAATTCAATCCTCGTGTCTTATCGTAGAGTCTATATTTAAGCCTTTCATACCCAATATACATATGTATATATCCTTTTGTGCCGAATTGGTCTCATTTAAAACGAACTGATTTATATAAAATAGTTTACCCCTAGAGTTCCTCTGTTTTCTCTAACGAAAAAACAAATATGGTATAAGTGAAGTTCCTTTCAATTTTATTCTAAGTATACATACATTATAAATTTCTACTTGGCCATGGGTATGGAAGGATACAGTAGCTTTATCACTCCCTTCCAAGCTTTAAATTAGATTAGTAAAGGACGTTTTGTCTTTATTGTTAGATATAGGATGCTGTTTAGAATGGTATATGACTGTAAATATGGGTTACCAGCGTTTGTAATTTGGGTTGTTATTGTTTATTTCTTGATTTATGTCTATAGGATCGACTTTCGAAATATCAGGGTACCATAAGCAATAGGCGTTTGATTTTTTCTTCACAAGTGCAATGTAAAGCAAGTCTGGCTGGAAGTGCAATATCTTAGTATTAGGTTGTATTTATTTTGATATGTTAAACCTAATTAAATCTTCAGAGAAAAGAACTTTTAGA